CGCCCGCCCAGGGTCACCAGCGCCGGCCGCGGAGACTTCGCCCGCCCGTGGCCGTGGGGGGCTGCTGTGTGAAAGAGGAGCCGTCGAGATACCGGCTTAATCTAGACGGGTTAAAGCACTTTGTAGGAAAGTAAAAGGAAAGGAAAAGAAGGGGCGTGATACTTACAGAGGACTTCTGCAGAAGTGGCCGGGTATGCCTGAGGCGCCCAGGACCTTCCAAAAGAAATTGTCTCCTCCACCTATTGTTTTTATCCTGGAGACGCTGCAAGGAGGCAGTGAAAAGATTTGCTCTCTGGAAACTGTTTAGCGCCCGCCCTTTGGAATTGAGGGTAGGTTAGTGTATTGCTGGTTGAAAACCAAAACAATCAAAGCAAAGTTTGACAGACTTCTCCATAGCTTCTTAAGCAGAGGCATTGCCTCTTACCTTTTAATGGCGTTTGTCATAAACTAGTATAGAGACCTTAAAAGAAAGGGTCTTCTGCAAGGATTTTGTATAGAAAAAAGCATAGTTAAGCACATAGATAACAAATTTTTGCTTATCTGGAAAATGACATCAGGAGAAACAACATTAGAAAAGCCTACACTTAAAGCTTTTTCAGGCTTGGTTATCTCTATCCTCTCATAGTACCAGTAGCTATTTCAGTAAAATGACCTAACCTAGGCAGGTATTAGCACTTACCCTCTTTAAAAATATCTTTATGCTATATAAAGGAGTGAACTGGTTGATGGATTAGCACCTTTCATTTATGTAAAAGTGTCAAAACCGGTTTGATTTCTCTAAATAAAGACAATTTTCCTAATACGTAGATAAATTCCCAATAAGTTTAGAAATATTCTAGCTACTATTGAGTACAGAACTTGAAAGGAATTTTTTAGATTCTTATATTTTGATCTCTGTCAGAAGGTAGGTAATTTCCTAGAAAGTAAAACCAAGTGGAAATCTCAGCAGCCTCTAGTTATTCTTTGCATTGAGGCCAAAACCAACAATTTGTCATGTCCCTTCTCCCAACCAAGTAAACCACAAAATTTAACTTTTTATCTCAAATAAAATTCTTCATATACGTATTATTTATGTTGCTTGTTCTCTTGCCCCGTTACTCACAGGATGAGAATAATGTGAGATAGGCAGCAGTACTGGCTAAATATGTCACTTAATTTCAAAGGTTCTTGTAGTTTGCACAGGAGCCGCCTCACCGAGTTTGAAAAATACCATGCCTTTATTAGTTTGATTGTCATTCACTTCACAGTAAGCGTCACTCATGGAGGCTGATTGTCTTGCGGTCTCATTTGGTTGCACAGCCACAGGCAGATCACATTTGAATTCTATAGTTTCAGTTCATGATCACCCTCCCCTATGTGTAATCAATTGTACAGAATGTAATAATTTTATAATACTGTGCTTACTGCACTGTTATAAAAGACAAGGCAGTAAATGAGGGATACGCACATTTTACAAAGATTCACAGCTGCTGCTGAAAATTATCCACAAGTTTGAGGTCTTAGATGAAAAATTATAATTTGGATTGCAGGCAAACAATTTTCTGCTAGTAAAGTGTTTTCAGGTTGGTTGTTATCTAGTAGAATATTGCTTCCCATTTTGGATCACTCATTTCCTTAAGAAAAAAAAAAAAAGTAGCATTTATTACACCTGTATCTATTCTGGTTGATACAGTTTCAAAGTCAGACATATTTTCATTTTATGTAGCAGATGCAGTATCAGTGGTCTATGCAGATGGTTAACATGCTTTTCTTTTTTTCCTAGCAGTGTTTGCAAACGTGTGCTCACTTCTTTGTAAGCCAAGGGAACAGTAGTTCCTACCTCATTCATAAAAAAGTGGGCTGTGGCTGAAATGTCAGTTTCTCTTCATTGTTCTTTTTTGTTTAGGGTTTGTTGGAGGTTTTTATTACTTGATTCTTACATGGTATTTGTTTGTGAAGTGAATCTTTGGATATGCAAATATTGTTGGTGAAATTGTCCAAAGTTTTCTTGTTTTAGTGTTACACAGAGATTAGGATGCAAATATGAAATTGATTTTGAATTCTAGTCTTTAGAACAGAAATGTTAATGGAACTAATTCACTGAAACAAGTATATTTTCCCTAAGTCTCTTAGATTGCAGAAACAAATGGACACATAATTAATTAAATGTTAGTATTGTGATGATACTCTTGCAAACGTATTGATTTGAATATATTTAAGTTTCATACTTCGAAAAAGACACAAACTACAATTTTGATAAGGAGGCCTAAGTGCTGTATAGTAAAATGTTCATGTGAGCTTCAGGATGAAAGATTGTTTAACATTCATCTCTTTTTTCTGCATTACAGAAATATGGTATATTTAAACATGGGCAAGTGTTATTGCAGACACTTGACTATTGTAAAAGCAACTACAGATTCTGCTATCTTCTCCATTTAGAAACAATTGTTTTCATCTCTGAATTTGATTTAAGTTGTTGAGCTTCGCTAAACGAAGACAGGATAATATATTAGTGTGAAATCTGGTAATACTTTGGCAATTATTTTGTACTTGCATGCAGTTCAGGGTGCACAAAAGCCTTTAACTTCATTAATTAAAAAATACGTAGAATGAATAACCTGATTCTTGATCTCAGAATCAGTAATATGATTATGCTACAGTATTTCCTTTGTCTCAGAAACACACAGACACATATGTAGGTATATATATGCACATTTGCATACACACACACTCCAGAAAGAACAAATCCTGAAGACTTTTCCACTTCAGACTGTGCCAATTAAGGTGTCTCATGCCCCAGAACAGTGGCAGTCTCTGAAGGACTTAGTTGTACTGGTTTGAGACTGTATTTCCCCTTTCTGTCTGCTTTTTTTCTCGTGGAAGGCACTGAATGCATTTAGATACGTCTCCTGTATTAACTTTAATAATTGATAAAGGTGCATTTGAAGTAATATGTCACTCTATGAGCTAATTTGAAGCAAAGCCACACATACTTGTCCACCAGCCTAGTACAGGTTTAGTAAGTTCCAGTAAACATTTGGGGAAGTAACACCAAACTCTTGCAACTATGTCTGTTAGGCTCCATCTGTCAGAGACCTTAGATCAATTTTGCATGACACATATTCCTCAAGAGCTACATCTCAGAGCTGTGATCCAGGAAATGAGCTCTCTCGAACAATTAGCAACTAGATCGATTAAAAATACTTTAAAACTGCATTCCCTTGTATATTTTGGTTTCATTCAGGAACATGGAATGAATTCTTTCTACAAATTGTATCTCTACATATAATGTTTATTCTTTAGAATATTTCATATTTGTACCAGATATGTAATATGGAAAATAATAGCATTTTGGATTGCTATAAAAACAAATGGTTTCCTAAACATTTTTTTTTCCCATTTGTTCTTCTCTTCTTTGGATGCTAATTAATTGTGAACATAGTAGACTCTGGTTTATTCCATAACCTGCTCGCTCTATGTTTTATCTGAATTAAAAATTATTCTTCTTAAAATTTTATTTACTGACAAAAGTTAAAGGAAGAAGTGTTCATTGGGAATGATACTAGGACTAACCAAACAATAAAACCTCTAGCAGTGAAGGAATGTCAGCTCACTGAGATGCCATTATAACATAGTTGGCTCTGTAACTTTGTGCACAAGAATTTCACATTTCTTGACTAGATCTTAGGATAGGGGGAGTTCTTTTAGTAGGAAAATTATGCCCTAGACAAAGTGCAAAGATGTCATGTCAGACATGTCACAAAGATTGTATCAACAATCATACTTAAGGAGCTTACTAGAGATAAAGTATTGTATGCCTAATTTTCTATGCTGCTTGATTTACACAGGGCTCTAGGATAAATTTAGGGTTTTCTTAAAAGCAACATGCATTGTTTATACTAGATTTTTTTTGTTAGCAAACATACATTTTCTTTAAATGTAGATCAAATAGAATGGACGATATGTATTGCTAGAGAAAAAGGGAATGTGGTAGCTATTTACAGTTGCAAATTCCAGCTAAAATGAAATTTAGCATGTTGGGTTTGAGATGCCTGTGCATAAGGAGTCAGCTGTGCTAAATTTTTTGGAATAAAATCATCACAACTGGGAACAATGAGAAACATAAGATTACTAGAATAATTTTTAATTGGGATTTATGTTGTCTACACAGGAAGAAAAAAATCGCTGAGATGTAGAAGAGAAGGAAAATAGAAGACATAGTAAGTGATATTTGCTATTCTTGAAATCAAAATTGTAAAAAGTAGTATGTGAATATACTTGATCTTAGTGTTTGTTCTTTGTTACT